TCCCTGTGGGGCCCCGGCCCGCCGGCCCCGCTCCTCGCCTGGGGTTTGTTCCGTCGCAGCGGTCCGGGCCACACGGGAGCTCCGCAGCCCCGTTGCGGGTTGTGTCCAGTTCATTGATTGCAATTTTTCCTTGAGGCGGGGAACTTTTTGCTTGTAGTGCAAAGTGTGTAATTGCTGTGAAGGTTCAGAGTAGTGTTTTAAAACGAGGTGCTGCTGTGGAATTTGTAACTAGGAACCTATATTAACTAGATAGAGAACACTTACCTTCCCTGAAGTTCATGTCAATGAACTGTGCTTGGATACCTGAAGGGTGAAGCTGCTGCCAGTGTGAGATGGTGGGGAGGGTGGTGGGTAAACGTGGCTTGTCCTATGAAATACTTGAGTCTTGTTGGCTACCAAGAAAAGAGTTGGTCTCACTCTGCTCTTTCCTGCCCTGTGTAACTGATGTGGGCATTTTCAGGTGTGTTTCTTTTACTGTTGCAGGGACCATGACATTCTGCTTTCTTGTGCTACTGCTGTGCCCACGTGGCAAGTGTGGGTCTCCTGGAGTGTTGCAAACTGTATTGCTTCCCTACCTGGGCTGAACCCCTCTGTGATTGTCACCACACCCTTGGTTGCTCTCTGAACTTACACACAGGAAGGGCTTTAGGCTCCGCAAGGAGTAGAAGGTGAACTTGTAACAGGGGAATCTTGTCTCGTGGCAGAGAAGCATAGAGAGGATCCACAGCATGAGGTTAGGGGAGTCACAGGAGGAGGGACTGAGGCCAGCACTTTCAGAGCTTGTGCTTGCCTTGATCCCTTTTGGCTTTTCTCCCTGGTAAAACCTTCTTTTTCTCGTGTCCCCCATGTGGCACTCCATTTTCCTCTTCCAGTCAGCTTGTATGCATAATTTATGTTTCTTGGGTTGTCCAAGTACCTTCAGAATTATCTGCCATGCCTCCTAGGAATAGAAACTTCTTAATTGAGGTGCATTTTTGTGACACACTTCCAGTTCATTTTTAGACTCCTGACACTGACTGGTATTAAACCTGAAACCAAGAGCTTGAACTCAGCACCTGCTGTCCCTGGGAGCTACACAAATCAAATGGAACAGTGGCCCAAACATAACTGTAGGAAAACTTGTGCTCTGCTGCAGCATAACCTTTTTAATTCTACCCAGTATACCTGTGTTGGACTTGGCTAGCTCATGTTAGCGTAGGAGACTTCACCACACGTAGACTTAGATGGCTCCATAGTTTGTCATGTGGTTAGTAGCTATCTATTGAACAGGTTTCTCTCTCTGCCTCTTCCGGGTAGAAAAACACTGAGTGCATAAGCCAAGACTTTATTATAAATACTTTGTTGACATCTTTGTAGCACACTCGGTAAATAACCCATTTAGTGCTATTTAGTGAATCTGATGTGGGTGTGGTTCCCTTTAGGGACATGTATGAGTGCATCTGTGGTGGTGAAGAGGGAGCAGAGGGCCAAGCAGCCATGGGAACACTAAGGCTGCTGCTACATCTGGGGTATGGTCAGGTGGGGGCAGCTCTTGCCAAATGCTGCTTTGTTCCCAGGTGCAGAAGACTTTGCAAGGATGTGAAGTCTGACCCTTAAAGGTGAAAAGAGATAATGCAAGAAAGGGAACTGGTCTCTGCTTAAATACCTTTGCCCTTTCCCTGAGGATATGTCAGGCTGCTCTAGATTAGCAGGAGGACCTGGTACTGTTCCTCCAGTCCTGCTGGTGTCCAGTCCCTTGACTGGAGGTTTACCCAAGTGCTGACCCACTCTGTCCCATGGGGGTGGCAGATGTAGGGCTTGTACTTCAGAAAATCAGAGAATGGTTTGGGTTGGAAGGGACCTTTAAAGGTCATCTAGTCCAACCTACTACTTCTTTCCCACAGACTCTAAAATCTTGGGGGTGATTTATGCGGTGGCTGAAATGTGATGTTTGAGTTCTTGCTAGCCATCAAGGACTTCCCTTGCGAAGGAAATGACCTGTAGTTGTCTGATTGTTGTTCTGTGCTTGACCCATTACTAGCTTTTTTGCAAGCTCAGCTCCTGAGCACTTTCCATGTTATGCCCCCACTTCAGTGGTTGCTGAGATTGAGAGGTTCATTTTTGCCTGATCTCTGGAGACAAATCTGTTGTCTATAGGAGTGTCTATGCATGCAGTGGTTGCTGTGTTGATTAATTCTTGGTTTTCTATCTCTGGTGTCCTTCACTGTCAG